AAAAAATCCTGTGAAAAATGGGGAAAAAACAGCGAAAAACGGCCAAAAAATGGGGAAAAAATGGCTAAAAAAGGGGGAATTCTTCAGTGTCCCCCCCGCGCCAGCGCCGGCCCAGCCCCAGCGTCTGGGGAGAAAAACCGAGATTTTGGGAAAAAATTAAAAAATGTCAAAAATCCCGTGAAAAATGGGGAAAAAATGGGGAAAAATGGGGAAAAAATGGCTAAAAAAGGGGGAATTCTTCAGTGTCCCGTCCCCCCAGTGCTGGCCCAGCCCCAGCGTCTGGGGAGAAAAATGCGGATTTTGGGAAAAATGGTGAAAAATGTAAAAAATCCTGAGAAAAATGGGGAAAAAATGGGGAAAAATGGGGAAAAAATGGCTAAAAAAGGGGGAATTCTTCAGTGTCCCGTCCCCCCAGTGCTGGCCCAGCCCCAGCGTCTGGGGAGAAAAACCGAGATTTTGGGAAAAAATTAAAAAATGTCAAAAATCCCGTGAAAAATGGGGAAAAAATGGGGAAAAATGGGGAAAAAATGGCTAAAAAAGGGGGAATTCTTCAGTGTCCCGTCCCCCCAGTGCTGGCCCAGCCCCAGCGTCTGGGGAGAAAAATGCGGATTTTGGGAAAAATGGTGAAAAATGTAAAAAATCCTGAGAAAAATGGGGAAAAAATGGGGAAAAATGGTAAAAAAATGGCCAAAAAATGGCTAAAAAAGGGGGAATTCTTCAGTGTCCCCTCCCCGCGCCAGCGCCGGCCCAGGCCCAGAGTCTGGGGAGAAAAACCGAGATTTTGGGAAAAAATTAAAAAATGTAAAAAATCTCGTGAAAAAGGGTGAAAAAACGGCGAAAAACGGCCAAAAAATGGGGAAAAAATGGCTAAAAATTACTAAAAAAAAAAGGAAATTTTTCTGTGTTCCCTCCCCCCAGCGCTGGCCCAGCCCCAGAGTCTGGGGAGAAAAACGCGGATTTTGGGAAAAATGGCGAAAAATGTAAAAAATCCTGTGAAAAATGGGGAAAAAATGGGGAAAACGACTAAAAAATGACAAAAAATGGCTAAAAAATGGCAAAAAAGGGGGAAATTCTTCAGCATCCCCTCCCCCCAGCGCTGGCCCAGGTCCAAAGTCTGGGGAGAAAGACGCGGATTTTGGGAAAAATGGCAAAAAATGTAAAAAATCCTGTGAAAAATGGGAAAAAATGGTGAAAATATGGGAAAATATGGCCAAAAAATGATGAAAAAATGGGAAAAAAAAGACAAAAAAAGGGGGATTTCTTCAGTGTCCCCCCCCCCCCGCGCCAGTGCTGGCTCAGCCCCAGAGTCTGGGGTGAAAAATACGGATTTTGGGAAAAATGGCGAAAAATGTAAAAAATTGCAGGAAAAATGGGAAGAAAATGGGAAAAAATGGGGAAAAATGGTGAAAAAACAGCAAAAAAACAGCAAAAAATGGGGGGATTCTTCTGAGTTCCCTCCCCCCAGTGCTGGCCCAGCCCCAGCGTCTGGGGAGAAAAACCGGGATTTTGGGGAAAATGGTGAAAAATGTAAAAAAACGCGTGAAAAATGGGGACAAAATGGGGAAAAAATGGGGAAAAAATGGGGGAATTCCTCAGTGTCCCCCCCTCCACCAGCGTCGGCCCAGCCCCAAAGTCTGGGGAGAAAAAAAGAGATTTTGGGAAAAATGGCGAAAAATGTAAAAAATCCTGAGAAAAATGGTGAAAAAATGGTGAAAAAATGGCTAAAAAAAGGGGGAATTCTTCAGTGTCCCCCCCCCCCCCCCCCGCGGGGT